TCTGCCGGTTTCTCTCATGTGTAACTAGGTTTAATCGCTTGGGCACCATTGTAGGAATCAGTTCACTTAGTGTTGGCCCAAACCTCCCGTAGTATCCGACTCGACAGTCTCTCTAACATCACCAATTTGCGAGAAAGAAAAAAAAATAACAACTCGATCTATATACAATAAAACAGACCTATACAAATGAATATCAAACGCCGGGTGACCAAGATGTTGGGAAATTTGTTCAATTATTGAACCGGCCACCTATCTAAGATAGTTGCAACTGAAAATTTGCGTGCTTCTTTTTGTTTTGTTTTGTTTTTTTTTAACAAGAAAACCCTTAGACTCAAAATTTGGTTCCCAAAGGTGTGTAAGTGGAACCGAAAGGGTAATGATATAATCCGAATGGCCTAAGTGTGAAAATGACCATGTGTGGAGCATAAAGATGTGATGTAAGCTCCTTTTTAAACTTGTGGTTTTTCAAAGATAATGAAAATGTCCAAATGTGGACTAAAAGACTCTCTAAAATTCTAAGAAAATCGCAAAAAGATATGGTGATGTAAAGAGACCGGATATGGATTCTACTTGGCGACAAGCACCAATGCTTCATCCTAACAGTTCAAACATGATCAAGTGTGATCCTCTCCGCGGTAGTGACCGCAAGGCTAAGAACATCCATTGTTATAGTATATCCTACAGTTTTTAGTATTGTATGCATAATTTTTCATGAAACTACCTAGCCATGATCACTTACCCCTTTAAGCTACCAACATCTGATCCCAAGTATGAAATCCCAAACTGTAGCTAGTGGTCCCGGTTCGATGGGTGAGATAGCAACAAGATCCTGGACCAATAATGATATAATAACTATGAACCTGTTCCATGGCATCCAAGAGAGGTGAGAATAAACAGACAACAAAAATGCATGAATGCTAATGCCTTAGGCTAAATGTTATGCAAAAATATAAAAGGTGAAAAAGAAGAAAATAAAATCTTTTTGAAATTTTAAATAAAAAAAATGAATGAAAATTAGCTTAATACTAAAATGTTATGCAACCTAGTTAAAAATGCATGAAAAAGTAAAAGATAAGGGAAATGCCCCACCCTAAGCTTAAGAACAAGCATTGTCCTCAATGCTTAAGGAAAGGGCGGAAAGGACCTAAATTGGAGGGTCAGGCGGCGGGAAATGCCCGTGACGATAATGGTAGTCCCACATATCTTGGACCTGGCGGGAAGTGGGAGGGAAGGACTGCTCCAATCGATCAACGCGACTCGCCACATCTTGGATGGCTATCGTATTCTCTTGCGTTTGGGTGTCGGTACGTTGCACCATGGAGAACATTGTGGAAAATTGGTCAAAGAACGTAGGGGGGAAATATGGTGGAACTTCGTATCCCCCCTGCTGCTGTGACTAAAACTGATGCTCGACAAATTATTGTGCAGGCTGAAACTGGGGCTCGGTGAATTGTTGTGCAGGCTGAAACTGGTCATCCTCATCATCTACAGGTGGAGGGTAGTCTGATGGAATGATCCATTGATCGGGATCGGTCGGCTCAAAACTCCCTATATACTCATGGGGGAGAATGAGGTATGGTTGGTTGTCAAGGATCCACATGGGACCGACAACCGAATCCCGGATGAGTTGCATTCGGCGAAGTGTGTTGTCGTCAAGACTAGAGGGGCCAGAAGCCTTCTCGAATGGAAGAGTAGAGAGATGAAGTTGAAGCGGTGGCCGAGATGCAATGAGGGTGATTAATCCCCCAATGAAAATGTCTCCTTTGTCCATAGTTGTGAGGTTGTAACACTTGGTGAAGAAAAAGGAGGCAAAATCCGGCCGCGGACCGTTCTCACGAGTCATGCACCAAAGAAAAAATAATTCCGCCTTTGAAATTTGTCCCACTTCGGAGCGGGCGAAAATGGTGCATGTGAGAACTCTATGCGCTAGGCGCAAACATGGGTGAATTATGGAGGAGGCCTTTAACGAAGACGATCAATATTGTGGCTCATTGGTAATTTGTTGCCAAAAGTAATGTTCATTGAAGTTTCCGGTCCATGGGTCTTGTTGGTAATATAGGTTATCCACTGGAGTACCCATCAAAGCATTCACGACCCGATGTGGTAGAGATCGTTTCTCGCCGAGCATTTGGAAGGTAACGGTTTGGGCTTCCTCCTCGGGATTGAATGTGGTAAGAAATTCCAAGGTGGGTTCAACATAGGTGGCGGCGCGGTTATGGAAGAATTGACCCCACCCGATGTTGTTAAATAATGCTTGGACTCCATCAAGCACCCCAAGACTAACAAAAGATTCCCTATGGAGGAATTTTGTTGACTTGACTTGACGCTTATTTGAAACGAGAAAATCATAAGTTTTACGATCCTCGCGATTCAACAAACGAAACAGGGGATCCTTGGATTTTCCCTTCGACCCTCCTTTAGAGGAAGTTTCTCCCGTCCCCGTTTTTGCACGCTTTGGACATTTATTCGGGACAAAATTTTACCAATAATAACTTTCAGCCACAACAAAGGCACAATACCAACAACAAATGGGAAATTAGGGTATGAACAATCAAGTTAAAGGAATGAGATTACCCAATTTCTTAGACCCGGGATGAACTAGTGCCACCAAAAAGATTTCGCCAAGACACACCCCAAGCTTGCAATTTTGCTCCGTATTTGACGCTTTAATCGCTAAAACAACCCCACGAACTAGCTTCAAGATGACTTTCCGGCGAATGGAGTAGCGGCACCCGAAATTAGACGGAAATTTTTCATGAGTTTTTTGCGGGAAGATTGGTTTGGCTAGAAAGCTCTTGATGAGAGAAACAAAACCCCATGCTCGGATTCTGCAATGGTGGCCGGAGTTGGCCGGAAAACGCGAAAGTAGGTGGTGGTGGGTGGTGGTGGCGCCGGGAATTCCGGCCACAGATCGGACCGGAATTTGGGTGGGGTTTGTAGAGGATGAAAAATGGAGAAGAATGGCGGTGGTTTCATGAGATTCCGACCGGTAGAACTCCGGGAAAATGGATTTTTGTGAGAAGTGGGTTTAGTGTTCTTGAGCTTCTAAAGAGAGAGAATGGGGGAATTTGTTAGGTTAGAATGAAGAAGAAGGGTGTTGGAGGTGTTTAATCTTTGCTCATGGAGGGTCAAACCCGGTCAATGTTTGGTCAACTCATTAAATCTCTTGGTCAACGAAAGTCAAGGCAGTCAACAGCTCAAAACATCAGTCAAACGACCAACACGCGAGCTGGGTGCAGGCCGCGTGCTGGCCGCGTCTAGCATGCTTGATACATTCTGATCTTACACGCGGGTTGAACTCGAGCTGCGGGCTGGCCGCGGGAATTGGTTTACTCAAAAAAAATTCCCAAGTGCTTCGAAAATCCACGCGGGTCAGGCGCGGGCCGCGGGCTGGCCGCGGGTACTGAATTGAATTTGAACGTATGACCACGCGGGTTGGACTCGGACCGCGGGTTGGCTGCGTCTACTTGCTAGAAAACTTTCTGATCATTCACGCGGGCAAGACTCGGGCCGCGGGCTGGCCGCGGGAACTTCTGCACATCAAAAATGAGAGTTTTCCAAAACACTTGATTTTTAAGCCAAAACAATCCCCTTAAGGCCCGATATCAAAAATTTAACAAAATTTGGAGTAAAACGGGGAACGATTGGTGAAACCTTTCAAAAGTTTATTTGAATCTCATAAAAACGTTTTGCAAAATGGTTTATTTGAATTTAAAAAATGGTGAAAGCACATTGCTTTCCAAAAATGCACTTATTTATCGTCTTTGGCGAGACGTCCTCCTAGCTTTCTTCAACACATCGGGACATCCAAATGGATGATTTCAAGGGCATTAGCATTGAAACCTTCATAGAATGGCTTCAATCGGTGCCCATTGACTTTGAAAATTTGTCCCGTCTTTTTTCTTTGAATTTCCACCGCCCCATGGTCAAAGGTCTTAATCACAACAAAAGGTCCAATCCATCTTGACCTTAGCTTGCCTGGAAATAACTTCAATCGTGAATGGTATAGTAAGACCCTATGCCCCGCTTCAAAATGCTTCCGGGAGATGGACTTGTCGTGGAAGAGCTTTGTTTTCTCCTTGTAAATCTTTGCGTTTTCATAGGAGTCGTTTCTCAATTCTTCTAGCTCTTGGAGTTGAAGTTTCCTATGCCTTCCCACCTCGTCCATGTTGAAATTGCATTTCTTGACCGCCCAAAATGCACGGTGCTCTAACTCGACGGGAAGATGACATGGCTTTCCAAATACCAACCTAAACGGGGACATTCCTATCGGGGTCTTGTACGCAGTCCGATAAGCCCATAAGGCATCGTCAAGTCTCAAACTCCAATCCTTCCTTGTCGGATTCACTATTTTCTCTAGAATAGACTTCACTTCACGATTCGAAACCTCCGCTTGACCATTCGTTTGAGGGTGATAGGCTGTAGAAACACGATGGGTCACGTGGTACTTCTTCAATAGAGCCTCCATCATTTTGTTGCAAAAGTGTGTCCCTCTATCACTAATCAAAGCCCTATGCATACCAAACCTTGCAAAAACATTAGACTTTAAAAACTCGATAACCGTTTTGGCATCGTCCGATCTTGTGGCTTTTGCTTCAACCCATTTAGAAACATAGTCAACCGCGGGTAAAATATAAACGTTGCCAAATGAGACGGGAAATGGGCCCATGAAATCAATCCCCAATACGTCAAAAATTTCACAAACAAGGATTCGATTTTGGGGCATTTGGATTTTATGCGAAATGTTTCCCGTCCTTTGGCACCGCTCACAACTTTTGCAAAACATATAACAATCGCGTGACATGGTTGGCCAAAATAATCCACACTCAAGGACTTTTCTCAAAGTCCGGCTAGGTCCCAAGTGTCCCCCACAAGCATATTCATGACAGAATAGCAAAATGGATTGATGCTCTTGTTGGGGTACACATCGCCTGATGATTTGATCGGGACAATGTTTCCACAAATAAGGCTCATCCCACACATAATATTTTGCATCATTTTTCAACTTGTCTTTTTGAGCACGTGTGAATGTGTCGGAATACCTTTTGTGACCAAAAAGTTAACGATATCGGCATACCAAGGAATAGATTGAGTAAGGGAAAAAAGATGCTCATCTGGAAACTCGTCCCGCAACGGGAGAGGAGTTTCATTTGAAGTGATCCGGCTTAGATGATCGGCCATGAGGTTCTCGCACCCACTCTTGTCCCGGATTTCCAAGTCAAATTCTTGTAACAGTAGGATCCATCGGATGAGTCTCGGCTTTGCATCTTTCTTTGCCATCAAGTACTTGAGAGCCACATGATCCGAATACACTATGACTTTGGTGCCAAGTAGATATTGCCAAAACTTCTCCAGAGCAAACACTATGGCCAATAGCTCCTTCTCCGTGGTAGAGTAGTTGCTTTAAGCATTGTCTAGTGTCCTTGATGTATAATAGATCACATGGAAGGCCCTCCCGTTCTTTTGACCCAAAACGGCACCTATCGCATAGTTGCTTGCATCACACATGATCTCAAAGGGAAGATCCCAATTTGGTGCTTGCATGATGGGAGCGGATGTAAGCAACTCTTTGAGCTTGTCAAAAGCTTCTTTGCATGCCTCGTTGAACTCGAAATCAACCTCCTTTTGCAAGAGCTAGCACATTGGTCTTGTTATCTTTGAAAAATCCTTGATGAACCTTCGGTAGAAACCTGCATGGCCCAAAAAAGAACGAACTTCCCGAACACAAGTCGGGTAAGGTAAGATTTGAATAACATCAATTTTGGCCTTATCTACCTCAATTCCTTTTTTAGACACAATGTGACCCAAAATGAGACCTTGACTCACCATGAAATGACATTTCTCAAAATTCAAAACCAAGTTTGTTTCAATGCATTTTTTTTAAAATTTTTGTGAGATTGGTCAAACATTCTTGAAAAGAGTTGCCATATACCGTGAAATCATCCATAAAAACCTCAATTATGTTTTCAACATATTCCGAAAAGATACTAACCATACAACGCTGGAAAGTGGCCGGGGCATTACATAATCCGAATGGCATTCTACGGTATGTGAAAGTGCCAAATGGACATGTAAAAGTTGTCTTTTCTTGGTCCTCCGGTGCCACCAGGATTTGGTGAAAACCGGAGTACCCATCTAGACAACAATAATGGGATTTCCCGGCCAACCTTTCTAACATTTCGTCAATGAAAGGCAATGGGAAATGATCTTTTCGTGTGCTTGCATTGAGTTTGCGGTAGTCAATACATACTCTCCACCCGTTTTGCACACGGGTGGGGACCAATATACCTTTGTTGTTTTCGACTACCGTGATTCCCGTCTTCTTTGGAACAACTTGCACCGGGCTCACCCACTTGCTATCTGAGATTGGATAGATCATCCCCGCATCTAGGAGCTTCGAAATCTCTTTCTTGACCACTTCCATCATCGGCGGATTCAACCTTCTTTGTGCGTCCCATCTCAGCTTGCATTCATCCTCCATTAAGATCTTATGCATACAAGTGGAGGGGCTCAATCCCTTGATATCCGCAATCGTCCATCCCATGGCTTCTTTATGCTCCTTCAACACCTTGACGAGTTGTTCTTCTTCAAATTCAGTTAAGTGAGTTGAAATGATAACTGGAAGGGTTTCATTCTTTCCCAAATAGGCATACTTCAAGTGTTGAGGTAAGACCTTCAATTCCAATTCAGGTGGTTGAATAAGGGATGGGGCAATTTTGTATGAGTTGGGGGCAATTCAACTTGCTTGACATCTAATCTTGTGGATTTCTTCATCTCCATTTTATTTACCAGCTTCTCAACTTCTGGATCCAAATAATAAAGCTTTAATTGCTCGGCTAGCTTCCCACAATCGAATCCTTTGCTTAAGATCATCTCCAATATATCACTGTTGGATAACTCGAACAATTCTTGAGTAATTGGCTCGACAACATCAACAAAGTACAAACATGAAACATCACTAGGATATCTCATGGCATCATAAATATTAAAACTTATTGTTTCACCATCAAACTCCATTGTCAAACTTCCCGCATACACATCGATCTTCGTCCTAGATGTCTTCAAAAATGGTCTCCCAAGCAAGATTAGAGCCGATTTGGAGGATACTTGCTCATCTACATCAATCACATAGAAATCCGTCGGGAAGACCAATTGGTTCACTTTCACTAGGACATCTTCCGAAACAACTCGAGGAAAGACACTTGATTTATCCGCAAAAGAGATTATGACACCGGTTTCACTTAAGGGTCCAACATTCAATGATTCATACACCGAATAGGGCATGGCGTTGATAGAGGC